TGCTGTGGAGAGCGGGGCCTGCAGCCAGTGACACTCCTTTCTCCTCTGTTGGCAGAGACACCTATGGCTGCCGATGAAGGCTCAGCAGAGAAACAGGCAGGAGAGGCCCACATGGCTGCGGACGGTGAGACCAACGGGTCTTGTGAAAACAGTGATGCCAGCAGCCATGCAAATGCTGCAAAACACACTCAGGACAGCACGAGGGTCAACCCCCAGGATGGCACCAACACACTAACCCGGATAGCGGAAAACGGGGTTTCAGAAAGAGACTCAGAAGCAGGGAAGCAAAACCACGTCACTGCCGATGACTTTGTGCAGACCTCAGTCATCGGCAGCAACGGCTACATCTTAAATAAGCCGGCCCTGCAGGCCCAGCCCTTGAGGACTACCAGCACTCTGGCCTCTTCGCTGCCCGGCCATGCTGCAAAAACCCTTCCTGGAGGGGCTGGCAAAGGCAGGACTCCAAGCGCTTTTCCCCAGACGCCAGCCGCCCCACCAGCCACCCTTGGGGAGGGGAGTGCCGACACGGAGGACAGGAAGCCCCCGGCCCCCGGCGCCGACGTCAAGGTCCACAGGGCACGCAAGACCATGCCGAAGTCCGTCGTGGGCCTGGTAATTTTGTGTCTTCTCTTGCTGTTTCCTTTTTCCCATCTCTTTTGTTTTCATAACGGCAAATGGACTTTGGTGCATTGAGGAGAAGCCAGTAAGTGTCAGTGGTTATCCGACAGGGCCCGTGAGGAGCTAGGAGAGGGCTGGGTGCGGTGGCTCACGGCCGTTACCCTAACACTTTGGGAGGCTGAGGCGGGTGGACTGCTTGAGACCAGCCTGGGCAGTGTGGCAAAACTCAAATACAAAATTTGGTAAAAAATGCAAAAATTAACTGGGCATAGTGGTGCGCACCTGTAGTCCCAGCTACTCAGGAGCGTGAGGTGGGAGGATTGCTTGAGCCTGGGAGGTGGAGACTGCAGTGAGCCCAGATCACCCCACTGCACTCCACCTTGGGCAGCAGAGTGAGACCCTGTCTCAAACAAAAAACCAAAAAGGAGACGCTGCTGATGCCTCATGCGTGAGTGACAGAGCTGAGTGATGCCAGGTAATGCCTCGCTTCCTTCTTGGGCTTTGCTCTTCTCACAGGGTTCTGTTGCCATCTGTAGAAACGTGTGTCAGACACTTTCCAGGAGGCCACTGACTCTTCTGCTTTGGACTTTGGGGCTTTCACTCCAGCTAGGGAAGACTCAGCACTCACTCTGTTTCACTGAGAAGTGAATAGAAATGAACTTGGTTAGGGCCAGAATGTGACAGAAGTGAGGGGCAAAGGGCCACCTGGATATGCCCAGGTCTCCCTCCCTACCCTGAGCTGCTGGGCTCAGATTTACCTTGAGAGCAGAATAGGTCTTGAATCCTGAGCGCTTCACACACAGGGTGTGCCTGCCCCTCACACACACCGTGCTGATGTTCACACACACGACGCGCCTGCCCCTCACACGCACTGTGCTGATTTTCACACACACGGCGCGCCTGACCCTCACACACACCGTGCTGATTTCCACACACAGGGCATGCCTGCCCCTCACACTGTGCTGATTTTCACACACAGGGCTCGCCTGACCCTCACACATACCGTGCTGATTTCACACACAGGGCTCGCCTGACCCTCACACGCACCATGCTGTTCACACACAGGCCGCGCCTACCCCTCACACGTACTATGCTGATTTTCACACACACAGCACAGCTGCTCCTCACACTGTGCTGGACTCATCCCCATCTCTTATATGGTGCATACACGATCCAGGTTTTCAAAGTGTGCACAGTGCTTTTAATGTGCTCTCTCTGTTTGATGTGAATTTGAGTGTAAGTTCCAGGTTTGTGATCACATTCCCGTGGAATTTTCTCTCTCTGACATTGCTGGTGAACATTCTGAAGGCACTTTCTTGTCCTTTGTAGATTATTTGCTCTTTCCTCTTAGCCACTGTTCAGGGCTTCACAGCCCCGTCTTGGAGGTTTTGTGTCTTCAGCTCCAGAAGAATGCTCTGTATTTTTCTTTCCGTTTTCTTCCCATGGAGCTCCCCTTAAATGGCTGGCTCTTCTGTCCCCCTGGGCAGCTCTCTGCCTGTTTCCAGCTTCCTCATTGGTTCCTCAGCCCTTCTCCTTCTTGCTGTTCATCCCATATATTGATATAGTTTATTTTGACATGTATTTTTTTCACGCCCAGTATCTCTGATTAGTTCTCTGTTTTTTTTTGTTTGTTTGTTTTGTTTTTTGAGATGGAGTCTCGCCCTGTCACCCAGGTTGGAGTGCAATGGTGCAATCTCAGCCCAGTATAATCCCCGCTTCCCAGGTTTAAGTGATTCTCCTGCCTCAGCCTCCTGAGTAGCTGGGATTACAGGCACACCCCACCACACCTGGCTAATGTTTGTATTTTTAGTAGAGACGAGGTTTCACCATGTTGGCCAGGCTGATCTTGAACTCCTGACCTCAGGTGATCCGCCCGCCTCGGCCTCCCAGAGTGCTGGAATTACAGGTGTGAGCTACCGCACCCGGCCTGATTAGTTCTTTTATTTTAAAAAATACTGTTGTGAATTCTGTCTTGCCTTATCTTTCAAAAGATGGTGATTATAATTCTTCTATAATCTCTGTTGTAAATTCTGATTCCTCAAGTGGGGGTTCTCTTGGACTTGACACCACCTGTTTGTGATTTTTTTTTTTCCTCTCAGGTTTAGCTTTTTTCTCCCCCCAGGGTGTCTCCACCTTTGTTTCTGTCATAATATTTCAGCCTGACTGTGAGTGCTGTGTGTGTGTTCTGTGGCCTGCCTGCAGTGACCACAGTGGGTGGTGGGCGCACTGTGGGGCTGGACTGCTGGCTCAGGGGCCCACGGCTGCCGGGTGTTGCGTCCTCTCCTGGGACAGAGAGGGCAGGCGCCTTGTGGTGCCAACAACTGCCCTAGCCCTGGGGCTTCTCCACTCCTAGGCTGGCCGGCCTGACCCGACTTCAACCTTTTGCAGTATTCTTCTCTACATGACAAAGCTTTAGAAAATCTTAAAAATAATTACATTGTCACAGGAAAGTGCAAAAATACCTTTCACCAAGCTTTCCTCAGTGGTGATGTCTTTGATAACTAAAGGACGATGTCAGACCCAGGACACTGACATTAGTAAAGTCCGTGGGGCTTACTTAGTTTCACCATCACCTGTGCGCACGTGCATCACGCGCAGGGTGTTCTGTGCAGTTTACTGTGTGTGGACGTGCAGAACTACCACCACAGTCGAGATGCCGAACCCCCTTCACACCAGGGCACAGTCGAGATGCGGAATCCCCTTCACACCAGGGCACAGTCGAGATGCGGAAGCGGAACCCCCTCCACACCAGGGCACAGTCGAGATGCGGAATCCCCTTCACACCAGGGCACAGTCGAGATGCGGAATCCCCTTCACACCAGGGCACAGTCGAGATGCGGAATCCCCTTCACACCAGGGCACAGTCGAGATGCGGAACCCCCTTCACACCAGGGCACAGTCGAGATGCGGAACCCCCTCCACACCAGGGCACAGTCGAGAAGTGGAACCCTCTCCACACCAGGGCACAGTCGAGAAGTGGAACCCCCTCCACACCAGGGCACAGTCGAGATGCGGAACATTCTCCACACCAGGGCACAGTCGAGATGCTGAACCCCCTTCACACCAGGGCACAGTCGAGATGCGGAAGCCTCTTCACACCAGGGCAGTGTCAAGATTAGAACCCCCTTCACACCAAAGCACAGTCGAGATGTGGAACACCCTTCACACCAAGGTCCCTGACGTCACCCTGTGTAGCTGTCAACCAGACCTGAACCTGTGCCAGCCTCAGGTTTGCATGATCCAACGTGTCCGGCCTATTTCTGATTTTATATAAATGGAATTACAGTGTATGCAACCTTTTGAGAGTAGCTTTTGTCATTCAGCTTAGTTCTCTTAAGATCCATCCAAGTTACGTCTCATTAGCCCATCCTGTTCTCTGCTGAAGCTTTGGTGTTCTGTGGGGTGTGGACAGCCTTGTACGCGGGCACTCACCTGCTGAAGGACACTGGGCATTTTTACTTTAGAGCCGCTCGAACATTTATGTATACATTTTGGAAATAAGATTTATCTCTCTGAGTCAAATACACAGGAGCATAATCACTGGGTTGTATGGCCTTTGGGTGTTTAGTTTTATGAGGAAATTGCGGAACCCTACTCCAGAGTGGCTGCATTTCACAGGCCCACCAGCGGTGTTGCAGGGGTCGGCTTTCTCCCGTCTTCACCGGCGGCGTCCTCTCCCGACGCCGGCGTTAGCTCTTACCCGCTTTTTATTTAGCCCTTCTGTTGGATGTGCTGGTGTTTCCTTGAGGCTTCAGCTGCACATCCTGTGACTGCTGATGGGGAGCGTCTTCCCCCAGACTTCTCACACACACCCCTCCCACGCCGCTCACCCTCACCCCTCCCACGCCGCTCACCCTGACCCTCCCACGCCGCTCACCCTCACCCCTCCCACGCCGCTCACCCTCACCCCTCCCACGCCGCTCACCCTCACCCCTCCCAC